GTTTTAATAAACGTTGTTTAATTTTTCATTATAGACCATAATTATGTTAGTTTTTTTTTTTTTGTTTATTTTTTTAAATATCAATTATGTTGCTTTTTATTATTATTGCGGCCACTAAAACATTTTGTTGCGGACGAATGGGTTCCTTTTGTTTGCATTAGCGGAAAACCCGTACATCTTTTGTTCAATATTATTAATATAGGATATTAATCTTAATATGTAATATTTATTATTTTAATAACAATTATTATTCGATCATAATTTGGTCCATTGTGATGATGTATGGATTTTCAGAAGAATTATTCTGTGTGATGAATTATACGCCCCATGGGATATTGACTTTGTAATTATGTCTGTATATGGGTGTGTGTTTGTGAGAGGAGCGGACTGGCTGGTCCAATGCCCAATTATTAATATCTGCTTTGTGGCGAAATTTCTACAAAATGTATATATTTAATGCCATAAATTACATGGTGTGTAATTAATTATAATTTTTAAAAATCGCCAACTGTGTTAAGCAAATTGTTTCGTTAACCCTAGCTGTTTTACAGCGGCAATTTGTTTTCCGACAGGAAAACAATAAAAATAGCAACGGATTTAAGATATTGAGATATATTTTTTTTAATTGTGAAGGGTGTAATTTCATGTTACTTAGGGGGGAAGATGAATATATGCGATACTGTCGGGTCAACGATTTTAAGATTTTGAAAATACATTATTCTAATATTTTGTAAAGTTGTCTGGAGACTCTACGGCTGTCATATCCAATGTCCAAATAGATTTGTTTACATCAATTTTTGAATATGATATCTCTCAAATGGTCGCCTCTGGCGTTGATGACGTATTGTGCCCTTTTTGCTGCATTTTCCATCGTTTTTGCCAACATTTCGGCCGGAATAGCGGCTATTTCTTCACGAATGTTGTCCTTGAGCTCTTCTACGGTCCTTGGTTTGTTAAAGTAAACCTTTGACTTCAAATATCCCCACAAGAAGAAGTCAGGCGGTGTCAAATCGGACGAACGCGGTGGCCAGTCCAAATCACCACTTTTCGACATCAAACGGCCCGGAAACAAATTCTTCAGAAAATCAATTGTTATGCGACTTGTATGCGGTTGAGCGCCGTCTTGTTGAAACCAGAACTGCCTCATACGCTTTCAACGAATAATGGGCATCACAAAATTGGTCATCATGTCGCGATAACGCTCTTGATTGATGGTAACAGCATAGCCATTTTCATTTTGGAAGAAAAACAGCCCAATGACCGTTTTCGCACTAACGCCGCACCAAACTGTGACTTTTTCGTCATGAAGAGGCTCCTCTTGGATCTCCTTATGATTATCAGTGGCGTAAAAACGCAATTTTTCTTATTTACGGTCCCATTCAATGTGAAATGGGCTTCATCGGACATGATAATTTTGTTCCAAAATTGCTTGTCATCTTCGGCCATTTCGATGACTCTATGGGCCCACTCCAATCGACGAGGCTTGTCCGCAGGCAACATCCTTTGCGTCAATTGAATTTTGTACGGGAACAAATGCAAATCAATGCGAATAATCCGTTGTAAAGTGGACCGAGCCATGTCCAACTGCTGAGAACGGCGTTTTTGGGATGTTCGATGTCGACTTTTATATGGCCTCTTCGGATTAGAAAGAGCCTTACCAGTCGAAAATTTTTCGCATAAACGCTTAATGGTGTTCTTAGAAGGCGCACTTCTCACATTTTTTAATGCTTTAAAAGCACGTTTAGTTTTGACAATTGACTTCTTGTAAATTTCAACTATTTCAGAGCGCTCGCGTGCCGTGTATTGGTTCATGGTAAAAATCAGCTTGGACTGACGCTTCAAACGCAGTATGTCATTAAGCGATGTGACATCTATGTCAAAAGTTATGGCGTTGCCAGATGGGTCCGTCGAATATGGGCAACCCTATATTGAAACCTGCAAAATGTAAAGAAAATCGAATATTTATTTTCAATTTTATGCGAATAATTTTAAACCAAACTTTTATCTTTTTGTGGGGGGGAGAAGGTATCAGAGGGATTGGGCAGAAAAATTCATCCAAACCATATCTCTTATTGAGGGAAATATTAAGATATACCAGGTTTGAATGGAATCGCTGACTTTTTTCGCAATTTATGAGAGATTTAAGTATTTAAAATTGTGATCGTTTGTGGGGGAGGCCGACATCTGTCATCCTCTCACCAGATCTTGTGTTTATAAAAATATTGGGATGTATGAAATTTTAAGAGAGACGGATGCTTATTTCACATTTTATGATAGTTACAATTATTTAAAATTCTGAACCGTTGTGGGGGAGTTACCAGAAGATAATGTCCGATCTCTACCAGCTTTATAAAAAATCTTGTGTTGTTGGTAATATTGAGATGGAATCGGATATTGATTTCGCTTTTTATGAGCTTTATGGATATTCAAAATTTTGACCCTTTGTGGGGGAGGAATCAGAAAGAGTGGACCGATATATACCATCTTCACAGCAGATCATATGGTAGTTGAAATAATGGAATGTGTGAAATATGAATAAAACCGGATGCTTATTTCGGTTTTTGTAATAGTATATATTCTTGATCAGCAGAAAATTCTATATCCGTCCATCTGTGGAAATCACTCTAGCTTCCGAACGAATTGAAGTAGATTGATACAATTTTACTCAAATGTATGTTATGTCTGCCAGACTTTTGGTATTGAAATTGGGCCATGTAGGTTCCCGTTTTTGTATAGCCCCCATATATGAAGATACCTTCCGATATTCGGTATTTTGATGATTTTAATGAATGAATGAATGCTACAGCCTATGACAGGAGATTGTCTGTGCAGGTCCACGTCTCCTATAGCAACCATATAACGGTACCTCCCGATATTCGGTAGTGTGATCATTTTAGTGACATTATTCACCGGAGTTGTTTCAAATATGGTATTTGAAGTTCGTAATTGCTGCTACAGCCTATGACAGGAGATTGTCTGTGCAGCTCCACGTCTTCGTAGAGCCCTCGAGTACGTATAGCGCATATATAATGATACCCACCGATATGGGGTATTTTGATATCCAAGTCACATTAATCCAAGAAATTGTTTCAAATTTTGGTATTTAAGAAGATTTGGTAGATGACAATCCTTGAAATATAAAATTGTTTGTAGAGGTTCCCGTTTTTGTTTCAGATTTAAACTTTTGATTTATTCTAGGACCTATGGTACATTTTGATGACCAATAAATCTGTATATTATTTTGGTTCCTACAATCCCGTTTAAAAGGATTTTTTTACTTATTTTGAAAAAGGAATGAAAAGTACCCTTGTGTTGACACACTTGAAGATTAAAATTTCCAACCAAAGTAGTCATCGTATTTTGTCAGCAATATGGCAGTATATACCTAAAATTAACGAAATCCTAATCCAAGAATTGAAAAAAAAATTGAATGTTGAGGAACCTGCCCCCTCTATTTACGCTACTTTGTAATATAAATTTTTAAAACGCGGATAAACGTATGTCATTTTATTATTGCTCCAGAAATTATTGAATATAATTGCATTTTGTCGCATAGTGTAATCATAGGTTTCAGAAAAAGCTAAGATATTCCTCATATTTGCTTACACTTCTAATATTTGATACATTACATAGACGCAATATTTTTGTACGTCCCCTCAAAAAGGGGTCTACATAGTCTAGTCATTAAACTCAGAGGATATATGTCTATCGGAACACCGTCTGATACTTTCTAATTTGGTCCAAATGAATTTGGTACAATGTGATATTAATGCCGATTGGAAAAAAATGATCATTGAAAAAATATTAATAATTTCCAATGGATCGTTTTCCTAACCAAAATTCCTAAAAAAATACATTTTTATGAGTCTTTGTTGCCAAACATTTATATCTCTGCATGTATCAAAAATGTATGAAGCTTTATCAATTAGGCAAGGGTACATGACCTTTTTATAAATAGAGTCGAATAAATAAAACATTTAAAAAGAGTAAACAGCTGATATTATTTTCTAATCCTAATTTATGAGTTCCAAAAAAAAGCTGACATTTGACACCTGAAAAAATAAATTTTCCATTCCATGCAATAAAAGGCGGCTGTCATTTCGGAATTTTAATTCATAAGTGTATAACCAACCATTCATACACTAGCGGTGTTGTCAACTTTAGTTTTGTGTTTCCAACACAAAATTTATGACACGTTCTTATTAAGTAGTGAACCAAAACAATATTTGTATTTTACAAAAACAAATTTCAAATGCTAGTTTAAAATCCAATAAAAAACGTAAATTTCGTCTACACCTCTGTCATGGCATTTCGACATTTTCTGAATATATACATACATATTTTAAAATGGATTTGGTCGGAAATTAATTTTTATTTTTTTTTCTTCTGGGATGTTTTTTTGTAAACAAAAAACAACTCTAGCATTGCCTTATTAAAAAAAACAAAAAACACCCGGGCTTTCGATGTCGGTGTGTCAGAGGAAAAGAAATGAAATGTTTAAACAAAAAAAAAAAATAAACTAATTTTCATTTAAAGCATTAAAAAATTGACGACGAAGACGAGACGGAAATTCACAACCTTTAATTTATTGGAATTGTTAAAAGAGCAAAGCAAGAAAAAAATAAAATAAAACATAACAAAATAGCTACACTCAGGCCAGTGACGTTCCGTTTAGTATGAAACCAAAGAAAACACTTTTTTGTACATCGATCAGTAAGTTGGCAAATTAGTTTATTTACAACACTCCTGCCACTAAGAAGGAAGCAAAAGATTTTTTTTTCAATTTTATTTACGATTTTGTTATAATTTTGAAGAATATTTTTTTTATTGTTGTATTAATTAATTAATAAAAAAATATGTTGTCGTATGGCAGACCTTGGAACCCGTGTAAATGGAGAAGGCAAATAAACATAATTTAATATTATATTTTTTTATACATGTTATTAAATTATATATAAATACTATAATGGATTTTTTTTATGTTTTTTTTATTGTTTCAGATTGGATCGAAAGTCATCACGTGGCATGGTCTATGAGAATGAAGAACTAAGATTACGTACCATCAACATAAATGCTGAAGTTGAAAGAGGTGAGTTGAAGTATATAAATCAGAATGTCGCTATAAAATTATAAGTTACTTAAATCTCAAATTAAAGTTGCTATATAATAATCAAATATGTTAAGACCGACTACAATGAATTCGAACTTAAATCGGGTCATCCAATTGCACAATTTGGCATATCTTGTAAAAACTCTTCATGTTTTTTAAATTTTTTAAGTAAGGCGCTTTGAAAACTATAAAATTAAGTCTCACAATACGTGTATTAGAAAATTTCGACCAGCATTAAATTTTAAACCGACTTCGACTTCCACCATACTATGGAGGCTATATTAATTTTGTCATTCCGTTTGTAGCTCCTCGAAATACTCATGTCAGACCAAACAAAATATATATTTTCTTGACCAGCGTAAAATTCTAAGTCGATTTAGCGATGTCTGTCCGTCCGTCTGTCTGTTGTAATCACGCTATCCTTCGAACGAATTGAGATAGAAGGCTAAAATTTTGCACACATGTTTATCTTCCCAGTAGGCAGGTTAAGTTCGTTAATGGGCCATGTAGGTCCACGTTTTCATATAGCCCCCATATAACGGTACCTCCCTATATTCGGTATTTTGATTATTTTATCGACATTATTTACTGGAATTGTTTCAAATTTTAGCATTTGAAGTTCGAAATGGATACTACAGCCTGAGACAGAAAATTGTCTTTGCAGGTCCACGTTTTCATATAGCCCCCATATAACGGTATCTCCCGAAATTCGGTATTTTGACGATTTTAGCGACATTATTTACCGGATATCTCAAATTTGGCATTTGAAGTTCGTAATAGATACTACAGCATTAAACCAAAGCCATGTAGGTCCACTTCTACGTATAGTCCCCATATAACGATACCTCCCGATATTCGGTATTTTGACGAATTTGGAGACATTATTTACTGGAAATATTTAAAATTTGGTATTTGTATTTTATAATGAATACTACAGCCTATGACAGAAAATTGTCTATGCAGTTCGAGATCTTCGTATAGGCTCCATATATCAGTACCTCCCTATATTCGGTATTTTGACGATTTTATGTACAATACTGACCGAAATAGCTTGAGATGTCGTATTTGAAGTTGGTAATCGATGCCTGTGACAGAAAATTGTCCAAGCAGGTCCAGATCTTCCTATAGCTCCAATATAACTGTACCTCCCTATGTACGATATTTTGATGATTTTAGCTACATTATTCACCGTTTATTTCAAGTTTTGAATTTGAATGTAGTAATGCCTTGTGACAAATAATTCTTATGTAAGTGCACGTCGTACAGACCCTAATATAACGGCTATATTCGGTATTTTAAAATGTTAGAAGAATTTTTGGCGAATGTTATCTTTTTCGAAAATTTCCAAATTCGTACTAATTGGTGGAGGGTATTCAAAGTTCGGCACGGCCGAACTTATAGAAGGATCTTTAAAGCTTCATTCAATTATTATTAAAGCCTAACTTTTCTGTATTGTAATGGCCCCAGAACAGCTTTCGAACTTTGTATTCAACGACAATTTTAGATTCAATCCCAAGATTATTAGATTTATTACATCAGAAGATATTTGTTTCATTAATAGAAGGCATTTTTATACCCTCAGCTATGTTACAGATGGTATTTCTCATTTGGAACGACCAAAACGTGCCTCATGCCATGCCAGGTCTCTCTGGTCCAAGTTCGTTTCAGGATATTTGGAGTCGATCTAGGGATGTCCGTCCGTCCATTCTAAAGGGAGTAATTGATTTGGTCCAAACTTGGTACCTCGTAATATTATTATCAAACATAGATGGAGTTCGGATATGAGAAATATCGGTCCACTCTTTCTGGTACCTCCCCCAAAAAAGGTAGAAATTTTCATAAAATTTTACGTCACAGAAGGAGAAACGATAATGCTGTTCACGCCATTAAGTACCACCCCAGCGAAGGGTAAAAATATTGAAAAATTATAACTCCTATAAAATGTGATTTAAGAGTCCGTTGTCCTTTAGATTATACTTTTATAAAGCCAAGATCTGGTGTTAAGATGCAATATATCGATCTACTCCCTCTGGTACCTCCCCCACAAAATGTCAATATTTTCAAGGAAAATAATTTACTGCACATTAAGAGAAAGGATACTCCAGTTTTGCTTCAACTTTGCGAATCCCTAATATTTGCATCAGTGCTAGGTCAGGTGCGAAAATGGTCCACTCCATCAATTGCCTCCCCCTCAAAGGATCAAAATTTTGAATAATTACAACTCTTATAAAATGTTATGTAAGAGTCCGATTGTCTGTTAATTACACACATCACAATATTTTTATAAACACAAGGTCTGGTGTTAAGTTGAAATATATCGATCCACTCCTTCTGGTACCTCCTCCCAAAGGGTCAACATTTTTAATATCCATGAAGCTCGTAAAACTCGAAATCAGCATTAAATTTCATACAGACTCCGTACATCTGATGGTAGAGATCGGGGCCTTCCTTCTAGTACCTTCCCCACAAAGGATCAAAGTTTTAAATAACCAAAACGATCATAAAATCTGAAATAAGCATCCGGTTCAATTCATATTTCACACACTCTATTATTTCAACTAAACAGGATATCCTGTGAAGATGGGATATATCGGTACCTCCCCCAGAAAGGGTCACATTTTTATACCCTACACCACAAGGTGGTCAGGGTATAATGTCTTTGTGCATTTGTTTGTATCAGGCAAAAGGAAACGAGATAGACCCATAGTTCCTTTTGATGATCTACATAGAATCACTTTCTGTGTTGACTTATGCATGTCAGTCCGTCTCTCCGTCCGTCTGTCCATTTATTCTTGTGAACAAAATGTAGGTCGCATTTATTATCCGATTGAGATGAAATGTTCCAAACAACATTTGTTTGGCCCAAGGACGAACCCTATTGAAATTGGAGATAATCGGTAAAAATTTAGATATAGCTCCCATATATATCTTCCTCCGATTTGCCTCTTTTTGTGCACCAAACGTGTAATATCAGTCCGAATAGTATGGAATTTTGCACATACAACCAAATTAGGCCTGAAAATAAGTATGTCAAGTTTGAAATCGGTATAGATATAGCTATAGCTCCCATATATATTGTTCATCCGATTTGTTATTTTTGTCCTTCGCAGCCGTACATATGCACTCCGTAACAACGATTTCGGGGAAATATATCAAATACAGCTCAGAAATATCTATGCCAAATTTTATCGAAATCGGTTCAGATTTGGATATAGCTTCCATATATATATTTATCTGATTTCAAATTAATTTTGCACCAAATGGGTAATGCATGTCCGAATTTAAAAGATACAAATGCTTCGGTATATTTAGTCCTTTGAATTTTAAATTTTAATTATAAACATAGGGCGTATGATTGAATTCTCGAATAAAAACTTTTAATTGTTATGTAGATCTCAACTAAATTAGCAAAGTGGTGTAGGATATCATAAAATCGGCCCAGCCCGACTTTAGGACTTTCTTAACTGGTTTAATAACCAAGAAGCTCATAAAATGCGAAATTGATATCCGATTCTTTTTAAACTGGACACATCTTTATATTTTCACCCACGCAAGATCTGGCATGAAGATAAAATATATTGGATCACTCCTTTTGGTAACTCACGCCCCCCCCCCCCCCCCCCATTCAGACTTGGTACATCTCAATATTTCCAAAATATAAGATTTGTTGTAAAGATGGTAGAGATCGCACCATTTCTTCTGGTACATCCCCCAAATAGGGTTCAAGATACCCGAAATAAATCATCCAAATCATCATATCGCGTAATAATCATCCAAATCCCTTCAAATATCACACATGCTAACATGTTTGCCAACACAAGATCTGTTGTGAAGATGATATATATCTTCGAATCCCTGATCAACAAAGAGTCACAATTTTCCATATTTTTATTAATGGAGACAGTCAGACATTTAACATTTTCTAAAAATTATCACATATCTCATATAAAGTGAAGGAAGTAACCAATATAGCCCAAACCTGCCACGTTTCAATATTTATATCATATTTATTAAGGTTCGATATAAAATGGAAAATATAGGTCCATTTCTCCGGAACATATTCCATAGGGGATAAAACATTTAAATAATCATAACGGAAGTCAAAATATGCTAAAATAATCGGACGTGGTCTGAGGGTATACATCTGTCGGCAAAACCTACTGACACGTTTTAACTGATACTGAATATAGCAAAAGTAATCAAAACGACATTATGAATTACTGAAAATACTCGCTCGTGTCATAGCCGCCACTAACGGTGACTCACGAATACAAAATTTCAGTATTCCAGCTCCAAAAGTAGCTACTTTTACAGAAATTGGGAATTTTTAATAACTGAACTTTCAGATACTCACTCTAGAGTACCATCAGAAGCTTTATAGTACGATTTTTGTTCAAACTCTAAGTACAGGATTCAGGATCCTAAAACGCAGTTATCTTTCTTCCACAACCACAATTAAACTCTTGGAAAGCAAATATTTGTTCGAGATTGAGATCAAGGACATATATAGAGAAATCAATTCACGCCTCCTGTTCAATTTTTTTTAAAAATCGTAGCTTTCCTGAAATGCGAATAGATTTTCAATTTTTATAAAACTTTGCACATTCCAATATATATCTGTAATATCAGATCTAGTTTAAAATGGGACGTCTATTCAAAACGGAAAAGGATACCAGGCTCGTTCGTTTATTTTCTTAAAATTTTTGTTGATTTTATGTGGAAAAGTTCATAATTTTCCAGCTGTGGCCCCAACATGTTTTTTCCATTTCAACACGTTTTTTCCTTCATTTTTCCTCCTCCATAATCGCCTGTTTTATAGAATTTAAAATCATATTTAAGTTTGTGTTCCATATTACGTATTATGTTCTCCCATGCATATTCGATTTCCTTGTTTTCGTTTTCAATTTATTGTTCTTCTTCTTCCAACTTCAACGGTACTCCACGACAAATTCAAAGAACTGAGAGGTATTTTTCTAAGTTCTCTTTAACAAATTATAAGAAGATTTGAAAAAGACAAAAACTTTTTTTTTTGAAATAAAAGTGTGTTCACATACTAGTGAAGGGCATTGTAGTGCGTTTCATCATGGACAGTCGCTTGTAAATAGCAGTCCTTTCATTTTTTCCTATAAATTTCCCATGAACATGCTGTCGTCATTGTTATTCTGTTATGCTGTTTTTTTATAATAACAAATAATGCTGCTGCTTAAATGTTTCAAGGATTTTCATTATGCTATTGAAATGTTTACATGGCAATATATCAGAAGTGGAAGTCGGTGTAGTAGTTGGAGAACACATTAAAAAGGGAAGAGATTTGATGGGAGTAGACAATCAATGGAATGAAATAAACAAATAATAAAAAAATTGAGATTGTTTTTGTGTTTGATAATAAATATTTCGAAGAAAAACAAGGTGAAACGAGAAGAGAAAAGTAATCAGTTAGAATAAAGGGAGAGAGGTGTGAGGTGATAATAGGTAACTGGTATATAGATTAGACCTCAGCGGCCACTGCTGTAAATCTAGTATTCCATAATATCACGACAATGGTGTGGTCTGGTCTGGTCTCAGAGAATATTACTTTAGAGAAGCTGCAATAGAGAAATTGTCATCAAAGGCAACCGTTATGGGATTACTGGCCTCGGAGTTCAGTGTTTAAGAGAAACTTTCATTTAACTGCTGGAGCAGTTCGTATCAAAACCGGGCTTGGTAAAATATTAGCTTGCCTCAAAAAACCACTGATATGGTCTCAAAGGACCCTGCTAAAGGAAACCTGGTCGCCGAGATCACTATTTTAGAGAACTTTGCTGGCCTCAGAGTTACCAGCTGTTAATAAGATGTCCTCAGACGCCCTCGCTTGAATAAGTTGACCTCAAATTACATGGAAGCGGGGTAGCTGGACTCAAGGGTCTCTGCTGTAGGAAAGTTGGCTCCAAATACCATGGCTGTGGAGTAGTTATCCTCAGAGACCCCAGCAGTAAGGTAGCTGTTTAAAAAGTCCCAACTGTAGGCTAGCTGTCTTTAAGGGCCTAAGATGTGGAAACCAGCTGTAAAGTTGCTGACATTAGAGGTTCCAGCTGGATGGCCTCTGGTGTCTCAGCTTTGTAGTAGCTAACCTCACAAACCCCGTCGGTAGGGCAACTGGCCGACTAACTGGCCGAGTAGCTACTCCCAATGGCCTCACCTATAGATTCTGCCGTCAGAAGCCCAATATGTGGTGTTTTTGGTCTCAGAGAATACTGCTGTAGGGTATCTAAAGCCTTGGAGGCCCAAGCTGTTTAGTAGCTGGCCTCAGAGGTCTCAGCTTAAAAGTACCTGGTCTCAGGGGCACCAGCTGCACACAAAAGCCGCATCTGTTAAGCAACTGGCTTCAGATGCCACACTTGTAGAGTAGGTTACAGAGGCCTCACTTGTAGAAGCTGGCCTCCGAAGCCCCATATGTAGAGTAGTTGGTCTCAGATTTCCCTGCTGTAAAGTAGTTGGCCTCAGAGTCTCCAGCTGTTAAGTAACTGCCCTCAGGGGCACCAGCTGTACAGTTACAAGCCGCAGAAGCCCCGTCTGTATAGCAACTGGCCTCAGAGGCCACGCTTGTAGAGTAGGTCACAGAGGCCTCAATTGTAAAGCTGACCTCAGAAGCCCCAAATCTGGTCTCAGTAGTTGGTCTCAGATTTCCTTGGACCTAAGGACCTCAGAGATCCCAGCCTTAGAGTAGCTGGTCCAGAAACCTCTACCATAGAGTAACTGCTCTGGATAAATTGACTTTGGAGAAATTGACTTTGGAGAGTCACCGCTCTAGAGTAGGTGGCTTCGCAAAGTCACTGCACTAGAGCAGTTTACTTCGGAGAGCCGCTGCTGTAGAATAGCTGACTAAGGAAAGTCATTACTGTAGAGTAGGTGACTTCGGAGAGCCATTGCTCTAGAGGAGGTGACTTCAGAGAGCCAATGCTCTAAATATTTGGCCTCTGAGAACCAATAATTTAGAAAAGCTGTCTTCAAGAGGCACTGTTTTAGAGTAGTTTACTTCGTAGAGTTAATGTTGTAGAGTAAATGGCCTCTGAGAGCCTCTGCTCTAGAGTAGCTTCGTTCAGAGAGTCACTGCTCTTGAGTAGCTGACTTCGGAGTATTTGAAGTCTGAAAACCTAAACTATGTAGTATCTAGACTTAAGGTCCCTCGATCTACATGAAAATACTCAATGTCTTCTGAGATATACAGAGACCCTCTATCTTACACAGAAGAACTCGGAGACTTTCTGACCTCCACAAAAGACCTCAGAGGCCTTTTGAACTCAACTAGAATTTTTCGAAGGATTCTTCATACCAAAGACCTTAGAGGCGGTCTGTCCTATATAGAAGACCATAGAGTCCTTCTACAGAAGTTGACTTGGGAGGCGATACAGAGGTACTGTTCGATACAGAGGTACTCATATGTTTTTCACCTTATATTAAACATTTCTCAAACCTTCTCTTCTATATTGAAGACCCTCGGTGGAATTTTGTCTTGAAAGTGCTCAAAAATCTTCTGTTCTATTATAAAGACCTTAGATACCTTCTGTTTCCTATAGAAGACCAATGAGGCCTATAAAGAAAAACTCAGAGGACTTCTGTTCTGTATTATTTCTTCTTGTTTCTGTATTTGCTTCTTATGAAGACCAAAAATACGTATAAAGAAGAACTTCGAGGACTTTTGTCCAATCTAAAATTTTGCAGTTCTTTTTTTCAATTACAGGCCCTCCGTAGGATATCCCTGTTTGTTATGACCGTTAACTCCATTTAATTCTATTATTATTTATATTTCAGGACAATCGGATATCAAACGTTTACGCAAAGAGAATGATCACCTGCGTCGTGAAATCTGGTCCTTGCGCGATGAATATGATCGCCTCAACAAGAGATTTAAAAATAAATTCATTGAAGCGGAGCAGGCGGCGCGATGCAGTCAAGCAGGTTGCTCCTGCCAATGCATTGAGGGCGGATGTGATATTGTCCACTCGAAATGCAATAGCGAGGTAATAAAAAAAAAACATTTTAAAAATTTAGAGAATTACATTTTTTATGAAAATTTTTGCAGGACTCCGACTCCTGTGACTCATGCTCGTGTCAGGAAACGGACGAAATTGTCTGTAACGGTGAATGTTGCAGTGAAAAGAAAATCATGGCTGCAAATGAAGCCGCCGAAGATCCCTCACCTACGGATAGTACAAAACTAACAGTCATTGATGGTATGCCTGTGACACCACCCCAATCGGCTATGCCAAGTATTCTAACCGGTATTGATCATTTGTCGGTAGTATCGGAGGAGACTCTGAGCAATAGTGATGTGGCGAATGTGAATCCTGGAAATCTCTTGGGCTACACACCCAGTATAAGTGGGTCACAGACAACACTGCCGAGTTTGGTGGGACCCCTGACACCGCTGACACCCATCGAATTGGTGGCCAATGAATTGAATGACATACAGGCCAAAGTTCCGCCATTGTCTTACTTTGAGAATGTTCTGCAGCAGCATATGAATACCAATTTGAGTGAGTGGAATGAGGAGAAAATGATTTTAATTTTTAATTTAAAATTTTCAATTATTTCCTTATAGCCAGCAGTTCAGGAACCTCCTCCTCGAAAAGTGGCAGAACAGTCATACGCCACACCAATGGCTGGGATTATAATTTGGAATCGCCATTTTTGCAGAAGCATTATCCCGTCAATTCGGTATCACCGCTTTTGCAAAAACGTTCAACGGCACAAACACTGACCACCTTTGTACCTACCACGACCCTGACACCACCCCCACCACCACCACCAGCTCCCCCCACGCTGGTAATAGACAATGGTAAGTCGATCACATCGAATCCAACATTGAAAAGTTCCGGTGAGATGCCAGTGATAGAGACAGTTCCCATAACCACAATGTCGGTCAATGGTCCATGTGTGGCAGTGCCAGCCACTGGCAATGCCAGCTGCCTCAATAGCAATTCCAGTAGCAACCAAAACATTACCAGCAGTACTAGCACCAGCATCAATGGCCAAGAGAAACCAGCAAAACATTTCTTTGCACCCATCAAACCTAAATTAAAATTGAACACCGCCTTGGCTAATCAAAGGCGGCAGCCACCTCCTCCTCCACCAGCAGCAGCAGCAGTGGCTCCACAAGCACCCCAAGTGCTGGCCAAGCCATCCTCATTCACAAATGCTGCCACCACCACCGGTCAACAACTAAAATGTGAGCCACCTGACATTTACGTGACCAATGGCCTGGCAACACCCTACAAACATCCACTGAAGCCAAGCGTACAACCGCCACCGGTACCGCAGCGTATTACATCCATGGCCACATCAGCACAAGTAAGTTTGTCACCGCCACGACAAAGGCGTAAATCAAGGCAATGTCAATCTAATCTACAAGAACAACAACAGCATCACTACCACCATCACCACTACCAGCAGCATCCGCATACGCATCCGCACCACCACCTCCACCAACACATGCCTCAGTATCAGCAGCATCAGTTTCATGGTTGGCAGGACCATGAGGCCAATGCTAATAATGAAGTCTGTGTTGTTGATCCTGCCACCAGAATAGCAATAACAACAGCAACTAACCAAACTACTTCCGCTTCAACTAAGATGGAAGACGCCTCTAACACCACTACCACCTCCTCTGCCTCCACGTTCTGTTTATTTGCTCCGGCAAGTTTGAGAACAACGCTAACAAATGCTCTCCTAGCCACTAACATTCTATGCAATTCATTAAAAGTAACAATCAGCGCCTCCGCCTCTGTCGCATTGCCCTCACCAACGGCAATGGTAAATGTCTCGCCCAGCTCCGCCAAATGTCTGACAACAACAACGGTAGCGGAACCTGTAACATGCCTGCCAGCCGCATTGGCCTCTTTTAGATTTATAAATCCAAATATTACCGTGATCAAACCCAATGGCCCAGTTTATGCAATCGCACAAAATGTTTGTCATAACTTAATAATTGCTCCCGCTGTGCGGCAACCTTTGATGTCATCCATTGTTAAATGTTGTCCGTCAACAATTACAACACCCAAAAAGCTGATGTCACCGGAGCCAGCAACAGCAACAAGAACAACATCGCCATCACCACCATCATCGCCATTGGAAGCAATGGCAATAGCAACAGTCAGGTCAATGAGAGCAACAAAAACTGCTGCACTACCAACAACACTGCCCCCATCATCCGCCTGTGTTGTTGTGCCGCCTAGCAGCAGCACCAGCAACATTCGCAGTAGTGGCAACATATCGTGCTGTGCATCATCAACTGTTAGCACTTTTTCAAAATCAACAGATTCCACACGGATAACCACATCAGTGAATTGCTTTGTTGTGGACTCTGTGTGCCAGGTGAGGTTTACAAATATGCGTGTCAGCGCCCTGGACAGGACAAAACATTGTTGACACACATCCCGGCGACAATTCATAGGAGGGGGGTGGGGGAGAGACTCGATTATTAAATTCGTAATTGTTGTGCGTTGTAAAAATGTATTGGCAATGCTGCGAAAAATATTCGCTCTTGAAAATTTAATTCCGAAATGAATTTCATTTAAATCGTGAAAAATTTAAGAGGTTGGAAGGGAAAACGGTTTTGAGATTGACAATGAAAATAGTTCATAAAGACGTTTTGGCCAAGTTTTTAGAACCAGCGCCTAACCTATAGCACTATGTGTTGGAAGTTTTAAACCGTGTACCGTTTCATAATCCCCTGAAAGTAGCGGACATAATACCAATAATAATTGAGTAGGAAGGTTAGAGGGGGAAATACCCGGTTATTCTACCCGAAAGTTCGGATAAAAAATACGGGTTTTAGACGGTTCTACAAAACACATATAGAAGCTAATGCATCATTTAAAAGCTAATGGAATTACCTATTCAATAGCGGTCATATGATAGGATTGTTTGAACATGTTTTGGAGCAATACAAGAAAATTATTTAAAAAATCCACGATTATTTTTTTTAATTTATTATTTTTATTATTTATTTAATAATTTATTAAATTATTTAAAAAAATCCACGTTTATTGTTTTTTTTTATCCTTGAAAAAAAATTATTTAAAAAAATCCAAGTTTATTGCCTTTTTTGTCCTTGAAAAAAGATTATTTAAAAAATCCAGGTTTTTTGGTCTTTTGGTCCTTGAAAAACAAAGAATATTTAAAAATTAACGTTTATTTGTCTTTTGGTCCTTTTAAAAAATATTTAAAGATATACGCTTATTGGTGTTTTGGTCCTCGAATCAAATTATTTTAAAAATTCAAGATTATTTGTGTTTTGGTCCTTGAAAAAATGTTTAAAAAATCCAAGTTTATTGGTGTTTTGGTCCTTGAAAAGAACTATTTAAAAAATTAAAATTTAATGTTATTTTGGTCCTTGAAAAAATGCTTTAAAAAATGCACGTTTATTTGTGATTGTCCATGAAAAAAATATTTAAAACATCCATGTTTATTGGTGTTTTGGTTCTTAAAAAAAATTATTAAAAAAATCCATGTTTATTGGGGTGTTGGTCCTTAAAAAAATATTTAAAAATCCATGTTTGTTGGCGTTTTTGTCCTTTAAAAAAATTATTTAAAAAATCCACATTTATTTGTCTTTTGGTCTTTGGAAAAAAATATTTTAAAAATCCACGTTTTTTTTTTGTCTTTTGGTCCTTGAAAAAAAATATTTAAAAATCCACGTTTTTTTTTGTCTTTTGGTCATTGAAAAAAATTATTTAAAAATCCAAGTTTTTTTTGTCTTTTGGTCCTTGAAAAAAATTATTTAAAAAATACACGTTTATTTGTTCTTTGGTCCATGAAAGAGATTATTAAAAATCCACGATTATTTGTGTTTTGGTCCTTAAAATTATTTTTTAAAAAATCCATGTTCAATAGTGTTTTGGTCCTTGAAAAAAAAAATATTTAAAACATTCATGTTGATTGGTGTTTTGGTCCTTGAAAAAAAAAAATATTTAAAAAATCCAGATTCATGGGTGTTTTGGTCATTGAAAAAAAAATATTTAAAAAATCCACGTATATTGGTGTTTTGGTCCTTGAAAAAAAATATTTAAAAAATCTATGTCTACTGGTGTTTTGGTCCTTAAAAAAAAATTATTTAAAAATCCAATTTTATTGGTGTTTTTAGGTCCTTAAAAAAATATTTAAAAAATCCAAGTTTATTGGTGTTTTGGTCCTTGAAAAAAAAAAATTATTTAAAAAATCCAAGTTTATTGGTCTTTTGATCCTTGAAAAAAAAAATTATTTAAAAAAATGTTATATTTTTACTTGAGAAAACCACCGTTAAGTATCCGAAGTATGGTAAGGTAAATTTCTGCAAAAAAAATTCTTAAAAAATTCAGATATATTGGTGATTTGGTGCTTGAAAAATTATTTGAAAAATGCCCTTGCAAAAATTATTTAAAAAATCAAGGAGTATTGGTGATTTGACCCTCTTCTTGTCCATGAAAAAATTATTTAAAAAATCCACGATTATTGGTCCGTTGGTACTCGTAAGTTATTTAAAAAGTCCATGTTTATTTGTCTTATGGTCCTTAAAAAAAAATTGTGTAAAAAAATGTTATATTTTTATTTGAGAAAACCACCGTTAAGTATCCGAAGTATGATAAGGTAAATTTCTGAAAAAAAAAGGAGAAAGAGCAGAGTTTTATGGCCATCTCCTAAAAACTTGTAGGGGCTGATTTGACTTTTCAAGAAGATTCCTGAAAGAAGAATTCCAAAACGGACTTAGACATTTGAGGAAGATTTTGAATATTGGGTGTTCAACCGAGGAATAGTTCTGACCTTTTTGTGACCAACGGTTCGAACGGCGGAGTTTCTAAAAAGGGTTTTAAAAATAAGGTTTCAAGATTTCTTTATTTTGTTATTTTTTTAAGATTTGTGATTCGAGGTTTTCCTTCCGATTTGAAAGTTTTTTTTAAAGTTTCCAATAACATTTTCTTTATTGAATAACTTATAAGAAAAAAACTTAAATAAAAATAATTTTTATCGGTGTTTAACCTCGGAACTATACCAAAAAGTGGGTCGATTGTGACTTTTAATGTCTAAGTGCATCTTGACTCGTTACGGTCGAATTTAGGGAGATTTGTTAAACATATATTTTGGTGAGTCACCCGAAGGTCAATTTTTCTATCTAAAAATCTTCGGATTGTTGTCCATAATACTGTCGAAGACACCATATACCTAAAAGAAGCGGATTCCAAGAAATCTGAATTCGAAGATTAAAAAAAGTGGAAGATTTCCCCATTATAGTGAATATACTTTACGATGTCAACTTTCAAAACTCCGATACAGGTATATTCTCTTCTAAGTTCTACTTTCATTGTCTACTGAATGGCTTATACAGTGAAGGTCACAGACAATTTTAAATTTTTCTTCCCACCGCTTCTACTAACAACCATTATTCTCACATAACTACTAACTAATGCTAAACTAAAACCACCAAAAAATAAATTTTTCTAATTTCCACAACTCCATAACTAATACCTCTATGTTTAATTTAATTTTTCAATTTTTTTTTCCTTTCAGACCGATTCAGCAAATCTGGAATCGATTCTGAATGACATTGAGGCCATATCGGAAGACATCTTAGCGATACAATTGGAGAAAACTCGATCACGAGATAATCTTGAAACACGCTCCACAGAAAATGTTTGCCGGACAACAGTCTCACAAATGCAGCAAGGCAATAAAAATTCCAAACCCTACAGATCCGAAATGAATCTTTTGCTTAGCTATGATGGTGATAATCCCACCATTCGCCCAGCAGTACCAAATTCCAGTAGCAATACAACAGAAAATGCCACAGACAATACAGGTACGACAAGGAGGACACGGTCACTGGAAAGGGAACACACGGACAGTCCATCACCAAGAATACCCGATCCCATGCAACCCTTCCCGGATAATCGTAAATACATTGGATTTGAACGTTTGAACAATGCAGCCATTGTGGGGCCACCTTCGGCAGCAACATCAACAGTGACGGTTACAACAACGCTAACACCCCGGTTGGCAGTGACGGGGACCCAAACCTCCCCCACCATGGCCACGCCCATGGGTCACAGAACGCATTTACCGCTGTCCCCTTTGGTAACAAATGTCAATATGCCATCACTGGCAAATGCCGGAGCTAAACCAGCACCACCCACAAGACAATATCCCACACCGCTGAATATTAAATGTGCCGGCATTCAACGCAGTTCATCGGTTTCCTATAAAACTAATGCAATGCATTCACCAACCGGTGGTTCACCCATTTTGGGTGGTGTTCATCCAAATAAAAGTCAATTATTTTCGGCAATAGCAAATGCTGCAGTTGCCCGCAGGGCTCAATTTAGATCTCAACCGACACACATGACAAGATCCCTGGATACGGATTGTCTCTTGGAGAGTCCCAATGAGGGCGCCGGCGATGTGATCAACAATGTGGAGGAAAAGGAGGTAGGTCAAAAATTTTGTATTGATAATAAAGGAGGGAGACATGATAGTTGAAGGTTTTAGGAAAAATTCTAGAAGGAGGGAATCTTAGGATAATAGGTGAGGAATGTTGGAAAGATAGCTGGGATAAAAGAGGTCAAATTCTAATAAGCTTGAAATTTTTGAGAAGATTTTTGAATTGGAATTCGCTCTGGAAACGGTTTGTTTTTTGGGAAGATTAGTGAAAATCGATCGTTAGTGTTATGAAAGTCATAGATATGTGAGAGCAGAGATCCATTCGATTTTGGAAGATTAACATAACATACCAATCTAAAAAATGCAGAGCTTTTAGGAAGGTCTTTGCAAGATAGGTTCTTCTATGTTTCGGGTTCTCAAAATCCATGATAAAATAATTAAAAAATCCACGTTCGTGGCTCTCAAAATCCTTAACAAATATTAAAAAAATTAAGTTTATAGCTTTAAAAATCCTTGAAAAAATATTAAAAAATCCACGTGGTCCTTACAAACAATTATTTAAAAAATCTTTGTTAATGGCTCTGAAAATCTTAAAAAATGTATTTATCTATAAATCTATAAATATCCTTAAAAATACTTAAAAAATCAATGTAAGGGCTCTGAAAATCTTAAAAAAAATTTAAAAAAATCCACGTTAATGGCTTTGAGAATTTAAAAAAATAATTAAAAGATTCAGATTTTGGGTCATGTGGTCCTTAAGAAAATATTTAAAAAATTCACGATTATTGGTGTTTTCCTCCTTAAAAAATATTTCAAATGTACAAGATTAATTGAATTAATTGATTAATTAATTGATCAAGATTAATTGATTAATTAATTGAAAAAAAAATATTTAAAAAATCCATTTTAATGGCTCTGAAAATTTAAAAAAAAAATTAAAAGATTCACGATTTTGGATCATGTGGTCCTTAAGAAAATATTTAAAAAATTCACGATTATTGGTGTTTTCCTCCTTAAAAAATATTTAAAATATACGCGATTATTGGTCTTTTGGTCCTTGAAAAAAATTATTTAAAAAATTCTCGTTTAATAAAAAATTTTCTTTAAAATAGCACGATTATTGGTCTTTTGGTCCTTGAAAAAATTATTTAAAAAAAACCAACTTTATTGGTCTTTTGGTCCTTGAAAATTTTTTTTTAAAAAAATCCACTGTTATTGGTTTTTTGGTCCTTGAAAAAAATTATTTAAAAATTCACGTTTATTGGTTTTTTGGTCTCTGAAAAAAAATATTTAAAAAATCCACGTTTATTGGTCTTTGATCCTTGAAAAAAATTATTTAAAAAATCCAAGTTTTTTGGTCTTTTGGTTCTTGAAAACAATTATATTGAAAAATTCACGTTTTTTGGTCCTTGAAAAAAACAAATTATTTAAAAAATCCACTTTTGTTGGCCCCTGACAAAAAAAAAATTATATAAAAATCCACGTCCACCAAACGACCGGTCCTTGAAAAAAAATTATTTAAAAAATTCACGTTTACTGGTCATTTGGTCCTTAAAAAAAATTATTATAAAAAATCCAAGTTTATTGTTCTTTCGGTCCTTAAAAAAATTATTATAAAAAATCCAAGTTTATTGTTCTTTTGGTTCTTGAAAAATATTCTTTAAAAAATCCAAGTTTATTGTTCTTTTGGTCTTTGAAAAAAAAAAAAAATATTTTAAAAGACCACGTTTATTGGTCTTTTAGTCCTTAAAAAAATTATTAAAAAAATCAAAATTTATTTGCCTTTTGGTCCTAAAAAATATTTAAAAAATCCTTGTTTATTGATGTATTGGTCCCAGAAAAAAATATTTTGAAAAAAATATTCTTTAAAAAATCCACGTTAATTGGTCTTTTGGTCCTTGAAAAATATTCTTTAAAAACCTACGTTTATTGCTCTTTTGGTCTTTGAAAAATATTCTTTAAAAACCCACGTTTATTGGTCTTTTGGTCCTTGAAAAATATTCTTTAAAAAATCCACGTTTATTGGTCTTTTGGTCCTTGAAAAATATTATTCAAAAATCTACGTTCATTGGTCTTTTCCACGTTTATTGGTGTTTTGGTCCTTAAAAAAATTATTTAAAAAATCGACGTTCATTGGTCTTTTGGTCCTTGAAAAATATTCTTTAAAAATCCACGTTCATTGGTCTTTTCCACGTTTATTGGTCTTTTGGTCCTTAAAAAATTATTTAAAAAATCGACGTTCATTGGTCTTTTGGTCCTTGAAAAATATTCCTTAAAAAAATCCAAGTTCATTGCTTTTTTGGTCCTTAAAAAATTATTTAAAAAATCGACGTTCATTGGTCTTCTGGTCCTTGAAAAATATTCCTTAAAAAATCCAGATTCATTGGTTTTTTGGTCCTTGAAAAATATTCTTTAAAAAATCCAGGTTCATTGGTTTTTTTGTTTTTTTTTTTTTTTCAAGTACGTTGGTCTTTTTGTCCTTGAAAAAAATTATTTTGAAAAATCCACGTTTATTGGTCTTTTGGTCCTTGAAAAAGTTATTTAAAAAACCCGCGTTTATTGTTTTTTTGGTACTTGAAAGAAATATTCTTTGAAAGATCCACGTTTATTGGTCTGTTGGTCCTTGATAAATATTCTTTAAAAAATTCACGTTTATTGGACTTTTGGTCCTTGAAAAGTACTCTTTAAAAAATCCACGTTTATTGGTCCTTTGGTCCTTAAAAAGTATTCTTTAAAAAATCCATTTATTGGTCTTTTGGTCCTTGAAAAATTTTATTTAAAAAATCCACTTTTATTGTTTTTTTTTGTCCTTGAAAAATTTTATTTAAAAAATCCACTTTTATTGTTTTTTTTGTCCTTCAGAAAAATTATTTAACAAATCCACATTTGTTGGCCCCTGACAACAAAAAATTATATAAAAATCCACGTTTGGTCCTTGAAAAAAAATTATTTTAAAAATCCACGTTTACTGGTCATTTGGTCCTTAAAAAAATTATTTTAAAAAATCCAAGTTTATTGTTCTTTTGGTTCTTGATTAGTGTTTCGATCCTTCAAAATAATTATTTAGTAAATCCGCGTTTCATACTCTGAAAATCCATGTAAATTCCAAGGTTGTTGGTATTTGGGTCCTTAAAAAATTCTTTAAAAAATTTTAGGGAAGTTTCGAAAGAGCATAGTATGAAAAGAAAGTAAACAAGAGGTATTCCAAAAGGGACTTTGACTTTTGAGGAAGACTTCTGAATGTTGGGTGTTCAACCGAGGAATAATTCTGAACTTTGTTAGCCGAAGAGAGGGGGTTCCAAGGGTGGCGTTTGTAAAAAGAGGTTGAAATATTAGATTTTTTTATGATTATTATTATTATTAGCATTTTTTGGATGTATATTTTTAGGATACTAGTCGATATCCTAAAAACGTACATCCATCTCCGTGATTTAGAAAAATAAATCAAAAATTTTAGCAAATTTAGAATTTTCCAGTAACTTCCCAAACAAATAAAAATAATCTAAATTTCTTTAAAAATATTTAACATATTTTCCTATTTTCCTTATTATTCTCACAGATTATCGAAACAACAAAACGAAAACCACGTCGAGTCTCTATAGTTTGTGGTGAAACAACGGCCGAGACGCCCGGTACACCAGGTGAAAAACCCACACCAACTGTACGCACCATACAGACACAGAACTCTTCGACGACATCAACATCGGGCAGCTGTTCCGATCTGCCCACTGTCATGCCAAATCCTGCTTTAAGAAATTTCAAACAAACCAGTCATAGTACACCAAATTCGCCACATTCCTCTCGCAAACATGAGGGTTCGCCCTTCAGTACCCCGACCCAGCCGCCCACAATTTCAATAACACCCACCAGCCCTTTGCACCAGCAACACGGGCGTTCGGTTTCCACGCACGGCAATGGATCACCACATCATCATCAGCTGCAGCAGCAGCAGCATTCGCACAGCAATAGTTATCCCAATGCGGTGGCAACAATGCATAATCCACAACAACAACAACTGCGAAAAAATAGTCAGGATACCATAAAGGCAAGTGCCGCCGAAATTGCATGCGCCGCTGCCAATGTGGTGCGTTCGAAATGTTCGCGACGTCACTCGGAGGGCACCGTCTCGCATTCGAATCAGCGCAGCAGTGGCACCAGCGGAGGCACTAATGGCGGCCATCATCACGGCCATCATAATCATCATCACCACCAGCATAGTTCATCAATCGTTAGCACCGGCCACCCGCACCACAGTCGTCATTCGCATCAGGACAGTAATCATGAGACGGTGGGCTCATGTTCGGATCGTAATTCAAACAGTTTAGCCTCCTCGCGCGAGTCGTCAGCCAGCTTCAGTATGCGCTCGACTAGGCGGAAGTTGTCGGTTAGTTCCAATACGGGTGGTAAAATACCTTGGTGTGGTTGCTGGGGCAACGGATGTTTGTGAAAACTGTGGATGTTGGCCGTGTGATGGGGTGGGGGGTAATGATGGTGCTGGCGCTGGTGCTGGTACTGGTGTTTGCGTTGGCGGATTCAACAAGGCTTAGCTCCTACACCGTTGTAATTTTCAAATTGAAAGGAAGTCATTGCCGTTGTTGCGTCGTGATGCATCCATTCATTCATTCAATTGCAGCTTAGCATTTTTCTGCAAATTTCTTGTGAATGGATTTCAAAGAACCCAACAACCAGCCATCGAACCAACTAAACATCCAGCCAACCAGCCATCCAACGAGGCAACCGAACAGGCAAACAAACAAATAAACAAATGAGTTTCAATACCAGTGTATTATGTATTTGTGTTTGTAAATACATCAATAAGATTTCTATGTAGTTAGTAAATATATGTACTCGTTAAACACCACATACATGCGTATGTACGTGTGTATGTGGATATATTTATGTTTGTCTTCTTATCTGCTTAGTAAAGAATAATTGCAGCAATTGGATTTATTCTCTCCTCTAATTTTACAAAATTTAGTTAAGCCAAATTACGTATACGAAAAACAAAATTCAATTAGAATCAATTAAAGTAAAAAATAAAAGGGAAAAAAAGTGAACAACAAAATTTTGTTAACGTTAGGAAATTCCAGAATTTTAAGAGTTTTAAATTTGTTTTCTTGTAATTAAATAAATATTATTATAATTATGTTCTAAATGCTAGTTATCATTATCGTATATTAATTTTTTTGCAATACATACTCAACCTATGTAAATTTATATATAATTTGTTTGAAGAAAAAAAATTAAGGAAAATACATAAATAAACTAACAGAGTTTAAAATATTTAAAACATAAAGTGGGTTTTTTTGGAAATTAAAATTAACAAATAAAAAAGCAGTAAGTTCGGCCGGGCCAAACTTTTAATACCCTCCAAACTTTTAATGGAAACACTAGAACCAATTATGACCCAAAAATACCAATTTTTAGACATATGTGGCAAAAAACATCAAGACGCCGAATATCGGGAGGTACCGCTATATAGGGCTATACAACATCGTCGACCTATACATACAACGTTTCGCACACGAAGCTAGAACCTGATATGACCAACTTATTCCAATTTTTAGACAAATCCGTGAAAAAAAATGTGACAAAAACCATCAAAATACCGAATATCGGGAGATACCGTTATATGGGGGCTATACCAAAGCGTGGACCTATACATACAATGTTTCGCCACACGAACTAGGACCCATTATGACCTACAAATACCAATTCTCAGACAAATCCTTGAAAAAATGTGGCAAAAATCGATAAAATGCCGAATATCGTGAAGTACCGCATTATGGGGGCTATACCAAAACATGGACTTATACATACAATGTTTCGCCACACGAACTAGGACCCATTATGACCTACAAATACCAAATACAAATACCAATTCTCAGACAAATTCGTGAAAAAATGTGTCAAAAATCAATAAAATGCCGAATATCGTGAGGTACCGCTATATGGCGGCTACACCAAAACGTGGACTTATACATGCAATGTTTCGTCACCGGAGCTAGCACCCATTATGACCAACAAATACCAATTTTTAGACAAATCCATAAAAAAATGTGGCAAAAATCATCAAAATACCGAATATCGGGAGGTACCGTTATATGGGGGCTATACCAAAACGTGGATCGACATATGTCAAATGTTTCGCCACCGCAGCTAGAACCCACTATGACCAAAAATTATCAATTTTTAGACAAATCCATGAAAAAATGCAGCAAAAATCATTAAATACCTTATATCGGGAGGTACCGTTATATGGGGACTATACCAAAACCGACATATGTCATTTTCAATACCAACCATCCTAGAAACAATACAAATTATTCTGCTAAATTTTGACGCTCTACGCCAAATAATGTGGCCTGTATCGTGATTTCAACAGAGAGACGGACAGACAAACGGACATCGTTAAAACGACTTAGAATTTTATGCTAATTATGAATATACATACATAATAGACTCGACGTCGAATATGTAGTCATATTTCAAACGGAATGACAAAGTTAATATACCCTCCTTTCCAAGGTGGAGGGTATAAAAATGAAAATGATAAGGGGTTTATGCGGTGGCAACAATGCATAATCCACAACAACGGCGAAAAAATTGTTAAGATACGATAAAGGCAAATGCCGCGTAAAGGGGTTTCCAGTTAGAGGTATTATTTTAATATTCAAAGAAAATATCTAAATATTCAATATTATTTCATAATAAAGAACAAAGTTTGCTTCTTTTATGAAAAAATGCAAGTAAAAAGCAATAAGTTCGACCGGACCGAACATTGAATACCCTCCACCATTTGGAAATTTTCAAAAAACAAAAGTAAATAAAAATACTGTTATAAATATTGTAAATATATATTATAAATATAGGGAGCCATCGTTATATTAAGGTCTATATGAACATGGGGATCTGCATAGGCAAATTTTGTCATAGACCATTTCAATACCCAAAGTTGAAAAAATTCCCTATTAAAATTCCGAATAGAGGGAAGTACCGTTACATGGAGCCCATACCGATGCCTGACCATTTATATGCAGTTTTCTGTAGTAATCATTACGAATTGCAAACACGAAATTTAAAACAATTCCAGTGATAAATGATCAAAGTACGGAATATAGGAAGATACAGCTATATGGGGGCTATACGAAGGCGTGAACCTGCACAGTAAATTTTCTGTGATAGGTTGTAGTATCAGATACGAACTGCTAATAACTGATAGGTTGAAGCAAAAAAAAAAAAAAAACAATTTACTTAACGACGAACATCGATAAATCGACTTAGAATTTTACGCTAATGCAGAATATACATACTTTGTGGCGTCTATCATGAATATTTCGAGGAGTTACATACAGAGAATCAACAATTAATATATTGTCCATAGAATGGTGGAATGACAAGGCTGCCTATATGATACCTACACCTCCATTCCTACAATTATGTAGGAGGAATTTCTAAGCTTAGACCAAGGGCCATTGAACTTTATTCAAATGGCCATTCGAAGTTGTAGAGATATTTTTTTGAGGAATATATTCTGCATAGATAGTGAACCGTAAATGTCAATCAGAATTCCATAGGAATTGTGGCTAGGAGCATGTACTTATGCAGCCCATTTTCAACACCAACATCGTAGACAAAATATAATTTTTTTTCATAGTTTAAAGCTTTATATTAATATAAATTTAGCTAAATCGACGAAATATTGAATGCAATACTTTTATGGCACCTCCCAAAAATTTGTTTTTATGCACAAACCTTTTGGTATTCTGTTGGAGGCCGATTTTTTCTTTAATCGCAATCAATGTAATGTGATGTATTTAAGATCAATTTTTTTGGGACTAATATTCTATACTCTTGGAACCCGAATCTTTAAATTTAACATAAAGGTCATACAAAATCAACACCAGATATTGATAGAGTTCTCAACATTAAATTTGAGGATTCACCCAGTACCAAATTAAGAATAATTTAGTAGTTTTCTTACAAATATAGGACTTATTTCTAAAACCATCTCCATATATTAACTGCTAACACCAAAAGATACGTAAATATCAAATTTCTGTATTCCAGTTTTTTTACTTCATCCAATACCAAATTTAGTACCACTGAGTAGTTTTCATACATATTTAGTACGTATTCCTCAACATAAAATTTGAGGAAAATGATAGTATTCATTTCCAAAACCATCTCCATATCTCACCACTGACATCTTAAAAAAATCCCTGGATTTCAGTTCTATTATTTCACTCAATCCCAAATTTAGTACACTTCGTGTACTAAATTATAGTACACATTTCCAAAACCACCAATATAAAATTTCGTGATTCCAGCTCTATCGCTTTAAACAAGACCCAATTTAGTGCCACTTAGTATTTTTCATACAAATTAATATGTATTTGCAAATCAATCACCAGATATCAACACTGGATACCAGCAGAGACCTCCATATAGAATTTGGGGATTCCAGTCATATCCCTTCACTCAATAACAAATTTAGTATAATTTTGTAGTTTTGATCAATATTGTCAATTATGTATCTGACCTCATCTGATATAAATATTACAAGGTACCAGATTTGAACATGCCAGGTATAGCTGACCGTGTGAAAAGCAAAAACACGAAGACTTTCTAATTGAGGTTTATTTACTGTCAAATCAAGCGTGCAGGACACTGCATTCCTTTAAAGTTTACCGGCATTTCTATTGAGTTAATTTATAGAAGCTATATCCAAATCTGAACCGTTTTCAATATTCTCTCACTGATTTTGATTTTAATTATAATTTGAGATACATAGCATGGTGCATCAAATACACGACATCTGCCGAAAATCACCGATTTCTTATGAAATTTGTCATATTTATTTTTGTTCCAAATTCCGGCACTCAATACTCAAAGAAAAATTATTATTTTTCAAAATTATTATTTTTCTTCAGATCAAAGTTTCTGTCTCTAATACAGAAGGTCTTTTTTATTTGTTGTGCATAGATTCAGTTAGAGTTCAACCTTCATATTATAGGGAAATAACGGAGTTTCAATTTACCTTCAAAACGTGCAACGTGAACGTCCGTTTCATTATTATACCCTCCACCATAGTATGAAGGGTATATTAAGTTTGTCATTCCGTTTGTAACACCTCGAAACACATTTAGACCCCACAAAGTATATATATTCTTGATCAGCATAAACTTTTATGTAGATTTAGCAATGTCCGTCCGTCTGTGGGAGATAACTCTAGCTTACGAACGAAATGAAGTAAGTTGATAAAAATTTACTCAAATGTATATTGTGTCTGGAGGACTTTTGGTATTGAAAATGGGTCATGTAGGTCCACGTCTTCGTATAGCCCTCGTATAACGGTACCCCCGATATTCGGTAGTTTGATGATTTTAGCGACATTATTTATCGGAATTATTTTAAATTTGGTATTTGAAGTTCGAAAAGGATACTACAGCCTATGCCAGAAAATTGTCTGTACAGGTCCACGTTTTCTACCCCCATGGTACATTCCTATATTCCTGTATTTTGATGATTTTAGCTACATTAAAAACAGATTATTTTTCAAGTTGCGCATTTGAATATACAATATTAGCTTATGGCAAAAGTTGCCTATGGACGTCCACGTCCACGTCCACGTCGTCGCATAGACGCTAATATATGGCTACATTCGGTATTTTTACTGTTTTAACAGAATTTTTTTACGGATTTTTTTTTTTTTTGAAAATTTCCAAATTTTTACCAAATGGTGGAGGGTATTCAAAGTTCAGCCCGGCCGAACTTACAGTTTTTTTACTTTTTTATATAAAAACACTACTGTTTGCCTTTTGTAGTTTTTTGTTGAATTCAAATAACAAGTCCTTAATTGAGACTTAAAGCAATAGTCCAAGAAGATTTGTCTAAATTTTTAAAATTTCTCCTTTAATCATTATCAAATTTCGGGTCATTTGTCGTAAAAAGTGAAATTTTAAGGACTAACATTAAAAACCTATTTCGGTTTCTACGAACTTTCGCCTTTACAAAGAAATCACTATCAAATAATTTAATGTTATTTTATCTTCTGCCCATTAACAATCATCTCAATGTGATGCGCAATAAAATGTTCTTAAAATAATCATACTTCAATTAAATTTGAGAATTGAAATTTGTTATGTGATCCTTTAGGTTTATTTTAATTTTATACTTCCTTATACAAATGTTATTGTACTCTTTAGCATAGTATCGTGTTACAGTGGT